TCTTTCCCTCTCTCCCCCTACCTCTCTCTACCTCTCTCTCCCTCCCTCTCCCTCTCTCTCCCCCTCTCCTTCTCCCTCTCACTCACTCTCAAGAGAAAAAATTAACAGATTTCAAAAACAAAAAAGAAATGAGGGATCTGAGTCCCACCTTCAAACCTACTGAATGGGAATATGCATTTTAACAACAGCCATAAATCAAAGGTCCCCAATCCCGGATGCATAGACCAGTACCGACCTATGGCGTGTTAGGAACTGGATGACACAGCAGGAGGTGAGCAGTGAGTGAGAAATTGAAGCTTTCTCTGTATTTATAGCCACTTCCCATCACTTGCATTACTTTCTGAACTCTGCCTCCTGTCAAATCAGCAGCATCATTAGATTCTTATAGGAGCACAAACTCTATTGTGAACTTTGCATGCAAGGGATCTAGGTTGCACATGCCTTATGAGAATCTAATGCTTGATGATCTGACGTGGAGCTGAGGTAATGATACTAGTACTGAGGAGCAACTGTAGATACTGTATTATGGTGAGTTGTATAATTATTATATATTACAATGTAATAATAATAGAAATAAGGTATACAATAAATGTAATGCACTTAAATCATACCCAAATCATCCCAACTCCACACCCTGGCCCATGGAAAAACTGTCTTCCACAAAAATCAGTTCTTGGTGCCAAAAACGGTTGGAGACCACTGCCACAAATGACTATTTAATTTTGAAAAGCACTACTCTGACATATTTAATATGACATAGTAATATGATGGTCTTACATTTGCTCTTATACAAAAAACTCTACAGTATTGTGTATTTCTTACACTGGGAAACTTAACTCATTCTTCAACCTTTAAGTTTTATTTTTAAAATCACAGGCCAAAATAAGGATATAACCTAAGTCAACTAATACTGTCTCTACTCTTTGTTCTTAAGTTGTACAGTGGCTTCTGACCAAAAGCAATAAATGTCCGACATAATCTGATCTAAGAAGTCATCTTGGAGTCCAGCAGATGGTGTTGTGGTAAAGACAGCTGGATCCCACACGGCCAACTGCACAATTGGAGTCCTGTACTCAGAAGCTTGAAATACATGTCCGGCATATGTACATGACTGCCCAAAATCCTAAGGGGAGAACAGAGGAGAAAGGATTATGTATGGGATATCCACCTCCCCTGGAGTTTGCTTTTACTTTCCCTCTTTCTGTGTCTCTGTGTCTCTGTCTTTGTTGCACACACATACCCCATAGCAAAAAAAAAAAAAAAAAAAGTCATTTTGATGATACTTTATTTTCCTCCTTGTCAGCATTTCTGCCAAGCCATCAGCCTCTAGCCCTTCCTATACCCAGACTGCTTCCTAACGCCT